AAACACCGCTGAGTCTGGAGGAAAACAGAGTGAGCGAAGCAGGAGTTCCAAAGAAACACATCTGCTTCGATCAAAATGCTGGAAGTTCAAGTCGTGCAGATTGCTGAAGCTCTGAAGCTGAAGCAGAAAGGAACATTGCCTGGGACAGTCGAGATTGTCCCGAACCAAGCGAAGGCCATCGAGACCAGAGGAGGAAAACGGATGCAATCGCCACCGCTGCCAGACAGAGGTATTGATCAATCTCCTTCCTCTATTGTTGCTAATGTGCCTGTGCAGGATGAAATAAAACAGATTCCATCTAAGGAGCAAGGTCCATCCCAACCTCGAGCGATACCAGCCGTTCAGGAGTCTGAACCAAAGGAGAGGGGTTCCGCTCAGCCTTTGGCTCGAGCCCCCTTTCCCACACGATTTGGGAAAAAGGACAACTCCAAGGAGTTTGATAAGTTTGTACATACTTTCCTTAGTCTTCAAATTACTATACCGTTTGCTGATGCTTTGTCTCAGATGCCACATTACGCTAACTTTATCAAAGATATAATCAATCGCAAGCGGGCATTTCCTGATGAAGCGGCAGCGGTGCAGCTGGAAAGTGTATGCAACGCCGTATTTAAGGAGGACCTCCCGAAGAAACTCAACGATCCTGGGAGTTTTATCATTATTTGTACAATAGGAAATTTAGAGCCGATTAGGGCATTATGTGATTTAGGTGCAAGTATCAATCTTATGCCCTTTTCGCTTTTCTCTAAATTAGGGTTTTATGAGTTAGAAGCATGCAGAACTGTAATTCAGCTTGCCGATAAATCAATAAGATTGCCTAAAGGAATCATTAGTGATGTACTCGTGCAAGTGAAAAAATTTATTTTCCCTGCAGATTTCATTATTATGAAAATGAGCGAAGACCGCGACATTCCAATCATATTAGGGAGACCTTTCCTAGCCACCGCTCAACCTACAATAAATGTTGCGGAAGGAAAAATCTCATTGAGTTTTGGAGGCGATAAAGTCACATTTTCCATGAACTCAGCACTGCGCCAACCTCAGGAAGAAAATTGTGATTTTATTAATGAGTTAAATGAAATAATAACTTTTGAGAACCATATTACACTTAAAAATCTGGAAGGAATTGCAGATAATGGATCGCTCGAAATGGAGGATAAAAAGGATTCAGTTGAGGCAAGCGACGAGACTCAAGCGCCTACTGAATCCATTGAACAAGCGACGAGGGAACTAGCGAGCGAGGCCAACAATAAGGATGAGCTGAAGAAATTACCTGAGCACCTCAAATATATATTCCTTGGCTCAGAGGAGAGTTACCCGCTGATAATCTCCGCCTTACTATTTCCGGACCAAGAGGCTCAGCTCATCTCACTTCTCAAAAGGAAACAAGCGGCGTTTGCATGGAAAATCTCAGACATCAAGGGAATCAGTCCAGCGGTGTGTATGCACCATATAAGGCTGGAAGCTGATGCAAAGCCATGTAGACAGCCTCAGCGGCGTTTGAACGAGAATATGCAAGAAGTAGTCAAGAAGGAGGTGATCAAATTGTTCGATGCAGGAATCATATACCCTATCAGTAATAGCTAGTGGGTTAGCCCAACCCAGGTGGTTCCCAAAAAAGGAGGATTCGTCGAACAGACAAGCGACGACGGGGAGGTCTTCATGACAAGACCTGTCACTGGATGGAGGGTCTGTATCGACTACAGATAATTGAATTCAGCCACAAAGAATGATCATTTCCCGCTTCCATTTCTTGATCAATGCCTTGAGAAGCTCGCAGGTCACGAATACTACTGTTTCCTCGATGGCTACTCAGGCTACCATCAAATTCCCATCAAATCGGAGGACTGTGAGAAGACAACATTTACTTGTCCATATGGGACCTTCGTCTATAGGAGGATGCCGCTTGGGCTTTGCAACGCTCCGGCCACCTTCCAGCGATGTATGTACCATATCTTCAGTGATCTCTTGGACTCATGTATTGAAGTTTTTATGGATAATTTCTCGGTATATGGCAAGACATTTTCCAAGTATTATATTGAATTGTAGTATAAAAGACAAAAATACCCTTATTAGTATGGTGTAATATAAAAGTAATGATATTTGTGTAATATATTGTAAGTTGAAATGGTATATATTATGTGAAGTAAGTAGTACAATTACTAAATTAGGAAATGGTTACCTTGTTTTGGAACGGACGAAAAAGGAAAATGGTAACATTTCAATGGGACGGAGGGAATAGTTAAATTATAATAATACTTTATCGATCTCATAACAAGGATATAATTTTCTATTTTTTATTGTATGATACATTTTTATTTTTTTAGTAAAATGTACAAAATATACTATTTTTTATTTTTTTATGTTAAATTAAAATAAACATAAAATATCGTATTCGTTTAAAATTGATGTTTAATTGTAAACATATATACCTAGTTATGCAAATTGTATACAAGTAAAAATAATAGAATATCTTAAAGTATTTTTTTTAAAAAAAAAAAAGAAATAATTTTTAATTATTCATTTAATAAATTTTATGACAAACTTTTACCTTAATTTTTAAAAGTAAAAATAAAAATAAAAAAATTATAAAATGAAAATTTGAGTAATTATTTTTAAATTTTAGACGAAAAGATATATTATACATATTTTTATTAATATCGTGGATAGAAAATTATGTTATTTTTAATAGACATAAAATTTGTACAAATTATATTTGATTTGGATTTAAAGTTTGATTCTCCTTTCAGATCGATTTGTTTTCCAACTTGGTTTTCGATGGCTTCTTTGATCCGAAGAAATTTAGTCTTCGGTTTGATTTTGCCAGGACTTTGGTCTCCGGGCAGGCGATTTGATCGTCGGCTTTGGATTTGATGTCCTCTTTTGAGGATCCGAGGCTTTGATCTTTGATTTGGTTTTGCCGCCTTTTGGAGGACTTTGGTCTCCGTGTGGGCGATTTGATCATCGACTTTGGATTTGATGTCTTCTTTGGACGATCCGCAGCTTTGATCTTTGGTTTGCCTTTTCCGCCTTTTCGAGAGCTTCGGTCTCCGTGCGGGCGATTTGATCATCAACTTTGGATTTGATATATTCTTTAGACGATCCGTGACTTTGATCTTTGGTTTGCCTTTTCTGCCTTTTAGAGAGCTTCGGTCTCCGTGTGGGGCAATTTGATCGTCGGCTTTGGATTTGATATCTTCTTTGGAAGATATGCGGCTTTGTCTTTGCTTTGTCTTTGCCGCTTTTGGAGAGTTTTGGTCTCCGTGTGGACGATTTGATTATCGGCTTTTGATTTGTTGTCTTCTTTAGACAATCTACGGCTTTGATCATTGAGGAGATCAATTTGGTATTCCATAACACTTTTGGTGGCGTGTCCTTTTGACTTTTGTATCGAAGAGACCCTAGTTGATGCTTTGGCGAAGAACGCGATGAACATCTTGAAGCTTTGGGATGAACTTTGGATGTTCTTCCTTGATTTTGATGGATTCTTCAACGACTTTTGGAACTTTGATCCTTGAAGATGTGGATTTAGTGCTCCATAACACTTTTTGCGGCATGTTCCTTTAATTTTTGGATCGAAGAGAGCCTAGTTGATTGCTTTGTTGAAGAACGCGATGAACATCTTGAAGCTTTGAGAGGAACTTTAGGACCTTCCCTTGGCTTTGACGAACTCCTCAACGGCTTTGGAGCTTTGATCCTTCCTCCGGCTTGGACATACGACGAAGAACGTTAACTCCATCGATTCGTCAACCAATATTGGATCATTTATCCAAATCGGTGACTTTCGACAAAAAACGCTTCGAAGGACACAAAGAACATAAAGAATAATACAGAAAGAGTCTAGAGACTTACCCATTTGCTTGAATCCTCGATGTAACTTTGATGTGTCAAATGAACTGGCCATGACTCATATTTATAGGAGAGGGGTGACATCGGCTTCCTTTTTTAATGATGCCACGTGGCACGTCCTGATTGGCCAACAAGAAGACTTTATAATCTTTCCTTTTCAGTCAGATGTTTTCCATTATTTACGGATTTGATTGTGCATCTTCTTTTCTCGCCAAGATCTTTATATCATTGCCTTTTTGGACGATATTCCTTTATTGACAAGATTAATTTATGGTTGCCAAATTTATTATGGCTCTATTTATACACGTAATATTTGTACGATATTTTTCAATTTAAACAGATTTTTACATTAATGGTTGATATTTATTATACAAAAAGTAACAAATGTGCATAATTAAATATCATATATTTATTTTATTGAAATTTTATTTTCTTCCAAAATACACTATATTTAATTTAATTTAGATATTTTTTAGTATTTACAAATAAAAAAAAAAATTTACACAATAAATAAAATACTAAATAATTTATATATTCATATTAAGCTATAAGGACTATTATACAACATACTCGTAAAAGAATTAGAGATGACTTTATATGGACTTTATGTATTAATGGGCCTATCTATAATGGTCCTATAGACGGGTTATATATTAATAATCCAACTTCAATCTAATTCATTTTTAAAACATAATAAAAATTACATAAAAGAAAAATAATAATAAATAAATAAAACAATAAACAAACTTATGTTTATTTGGATTTGAAAACAATTTGATTTAAATTTAATATCAACGTTCTAATTCAAATTACTCATTTTATCCTTTTCATTTATTTTACTTTAAAATATTTATTTTTTATTTTAGAATAAATAATATAAATATATACTAAAATACTATTAAACTTTTACAAATATGAATTATACGTATAATTATTTTATAAAAAAATAAAAAGATAAAAATTAAAATATTATTATTTTTTAATGTATTAAAAAATTGAAAGCGCTTTAGAAAAGATGGGAAAACATGTATATTTTTTATTTAAACGCAAAATCTAAGTCGTAAAAAGTTAAAAACGACAAAAGTAACAAAACTATTATCATGTAATGAATTACTATAAATATAAATAAAATAATCTGACTAAGGTGCAGACACTGTGGATAACCCCTCTCTCTAATGCAATTTCCAAACAATAAGAACGAACAGCTTTTACACTCATCCCTTCCCTTTTCTTTACACAAAACTATGGACACACTTAGAAGAACCATTCAATTCCCACCTCCGCCCAACACCCGCGGCGCACCGCCGCCGGAATAGCGTGCTACCGCGGGCCGGAGAGCTCCATGGCCTCGACCACCACAATCGAATCCTCGATAAAGTCCGAGTACCTCTGGAACGGATACTCGACCCCCTTATGCCTCTGCGGCTCGATCTTCTGCAGCTGCTCCCATTTCTCCGCCAATCCGTCGCCCTCGAGCATCCTCAAAACCTCCGACATCTTCGGCCGGTGCGCCGCGCTAAAGTTCGTGCACAGCAGCGCCACCTTCACCATCTCCTCCAGCTCGACTCGATCGAAATCGCCACGCAAATCCCTGTCGACCATCTGCCCCAACTTCCCCTCCGAATGCAGCTTCTTCACCTGAAAAATCTCCAGCATCATCGCAAACATCAGATTTTACAAAAAATGTCGTTGAATCGAAGACGAGCGCTGTACACTTACCCAATCAAGTATCACTCCCTTCTGGCTCGCGCCTCGTCCGAAGTCGACAGCTTTCTGCCCTGTGATCAGCTCGAGGAGCAAAATCCCGAACCCGAACACGTCGGTCTTCTCCGACGATTGGCCCGTCGATAGGTACTCGGGGGCGATGTGGCCGACGGTGCCGCGGATCGCCGTCGTGACGTGCGAGACTTGCGGATCGAGCAGCTTCGCCAACCCGAAATCCCCGACGACAGCTTCGAATTCCTCGTCTAGCAAAATGTTCGCCGCCTTCACGTCGCGGTGAATTATCTTCGGGTCACATTGCTCGTGCAAGTAGACGAGTCCCCTCGCTGTCCCCAGGGCAATATTCTTCCGTCTCGACCAGTCCAGCACCGGTCTTCCGTGCACGCAATCTGCATCGCATAAACGGTAATTAATTAAGACGATCAATTTCGAATACGATCCGGGTGGTTGTAAAATCGAACGACCTTTGAGTCGAGAGGCGACGCTGCCGTTAGGCATGTACGGGTAGACGAGGAGTCTCTCATCTTGCGTCGAGCAGAAGCCCCAAAGCCGGAGGAGGTTCTTGTGGACGGCTAAGCTGATCAGCTCGACCTCGGTTTGGAACTGAATCTCGCTGCCGACGGCGTTGTAGTCTTTTAAACGTTTAACGGCGATAACGGTGCCATCGTTCAATCGCCCCTTGTAGACGACGCTGAATCCGCCTTTACCTAACACGTTCTTCGGGTTGAAATGACCGGTCGCAGCTCGTAGCTCTTTGAATGTGTATCTCCTCAAATGGCCTAGTCGTACCTCGGGATCGTATTGCTCTGTCGAAAACAAATTCGTTAGATCGTTGTGATCGCCACAACCATCGAAAATATGCGATTTGATTCAATGAAAATCCTGACCGTTAATGTCGAAGAAGATGAGGCGATTGTGCCGGTATTGCCACCAAAGAAGCAATCCGACGCCGAAGATGACTAGAAAGACTGATCCAATGCTGACCCCAACAACAATCGCCGGGCGATGCTTCCCTTCCGAATGACCTGCAAATCGAAACCCAACGAGAATTCAATTCAATGTTTTGCATCGAAAATTGCCGTAGACAACGAAAACAGCTGTGGAAAGAGACCTTTGCTGCCGTTCTGCGGGAACATTGGCTCGGGCAAATCGGTCGAACAATTGTTCTGATTTGCGCCGCAGATCAGAAGGTTCCCGACTATCCTGCATTAGGAAAATCGATTGATCAGTCGAATTTTGTAATAATCGAAACAAGATCGGATCGATTCGACATTGATCTGAAGAACACGATGAACTTACTTGAACGTTTTGGCAAAAATTTTAGGAACAGAGCCGCTGAGATTATTGAACGAAACGTCTCTGCAAGTAATGACAAGCAATGAGGAACAAGGCGATTTGGAGAAAAAATGGATTTGAATTACAGAATATTTCCAGCGTTGTACCAATCCGATCAAGACAACGTACAGAAGTTTGAGGCTTTCGACTTTCGTCAGCGAATTGGGAATCTGTCCGACGAGGCTGTTGTTGTTCAGAAGGCTGTGTTCAAAGATTCAACAAAAAGAAAAAACAACACGGCCGCGTTGAGTTACAGTCCGTCGTCGAGACGCATAAATGTCGATGCGACGATGTTCTAAACCTAATCGGACTTACAGATAATTCAAGCTCTTCAAATCGCCGACGGAACTCGGAATCTCGCCGGTGAGTTTGTTGTGAGACAGATCGAGTGTCTCGAGCTTTGTTAATTTCCCAATGGTGTCCGGAATCATACCGGAAATCTCATTGTTCTGTAGCATCCTGCAGAGATTTTGCGAAGAACACATAATTTTCATGTAACTAAAGCAGCAGGGATGGAATTAGGGCAAGAATTGTTACACAGATTGCAGGTTTGTGAGATTCCCTATTCCTGGTGATAAAGTTCCAGACAAGCTCAGACTGGGTAGCCCTCTGGTAAGAAGCAAAAAACACATATACATACACTCATATATATATATATGAATGAATCAAAGTTGCAGGTAAAAATGGAGAACTTACAGAGTAGAGACATGACCGTCGGGAGAACAAGTGACCATTCTCCAACTGCAAGGATCCACAGAAGTGACATCCCAATTCTCCATCACGTTCTGAGGATCATTCAAGGCTTTTTTGATAGCAAACAAAGCAATAACTGAAGCAAAAAAATGTAATAAATAAATCAAACCAGTAGAAGAGGAAGACGAAGACGAAGAAGAAGAAAGCTAAATTCACCTTCATCATTCACACCAGTAGGAGACAGAGTTGAATAAGAAACATCCATGGCTGCCAACACCAGCAATCCAACTAATTCCCACAGAAGAAGAAGATACGCACCTCCATCCATATCTCCTCAACATAAAACCTCCATAAACCTAAAATCCCCAACTGCTCGAATTTACAGATTAATCTGAAATCTGAATCTGTTCTAGAGATCTGGACATCCACTCAAAGTCCTGTTGCTCTCAATAAGATTAGGATTAAGAAAAAGGGAAAGGGAAAGGGAAAGGGAATAGGAAGCAAAAACTAACAGCATATCTGAGCTACAATCCATGGATATCCATAAGGTATTTTGCCAGAATGGATACAAACATGATAGAAATGGCCAACACAAACACAGGCCTCAGGCTCAGATGAGGACAACCAAACATGGAAGCCCCCAAATTCTTCAAGCTTTATAGGCTACACATTAATGAACAGTAATTTAATGCAGATTTCCCCAAATTCCTTTTTTCTAAAAATAAAAATAAAAATGAAAATGAAAAGCAGAATTGAATGCGGAAAAGCAGTGTGCGTTTTGGGGAAGCAAAAAATTTGCTTTATATTCAGTGATTTGGACTGAAGAGATGGCCGTGTGACTGATTCATAGAGAACTATGGAGGATGATGATGATGACGACCATGAATTTCAATGGCTTCCTCTGAACCAAACCCTTTTTTTTTTTTTCTATTTACCAGAAAATTTAAATTTAAAATTTAAAATAAAAATAAAAACAGCCTTTCTGTTGCAGGTAAGGTTTTTGGCAGATCACGTGCTTGCCTTGTCCTTCTCCTTGTTGCCTTTTGCATTTTTTTTTTTTTTTTTTCTATTTTTGAAATTTGATCTAAAGTATTTCTGGCACAGCTTTTTTTTTTCTGACATTGTTATTTATTTATTTTTTCTACCATACCTGTTTCTGGTAATCAATCATGTTCAAAATGTATATATATATATATATTTTTAATTTAATAATTAATTACTTAATTGTAATTTTATAGTAGTATTCCATCCGTCCAATATAATTTGTCTTTATTTTTTTATTTTTGTCGGTTCATGTAATTTGTCTTTTTTTTTAAAATTAATTATATATTTTAATCATATTTTAAAATTTAAAATTTAATTTTTTTTAATCTTAATTAAACTATTTAGTTATATTAATCTTAATCTATAATTATTTTTACTAAATAATAATTATTTTTAGTAATATATTTCTTAATTACTTACTAATTATACTTTATCTAAATTCAATAATACATCCATATTACATAAGACGGAGGGAGTACAAGATAATTGTTCAATTAAGGTTTGCTTAGATGTAATTACATAATACTCCATCCGATTCTGATACTATGTCCGTTTTACTGCATACACGAGAATTTAGAGATATAATTAATAAATAATTAATAATATACTAGTAAAAATAATTATCGTATGATAAAAGTAATAATTTAAATAAAATTAAAAATTTTAAAATAAAATTAAAGTAATAATTTTTTTATAAAAAAATAATTATAATAAATGGGACTAAGAGAGTATTAATTTTATGAAGTACTCCCTCTGTTCCATGTAATATGTGTATTACCGTAGACACGAGAATTTAGATAAAGTATAATGAGTAAGTAATTAATAAATGTATTAGAAAAATAATTATTATTTAGTAAAAATAATTGTAGATTAAGATTAAGATAACTAAATAGTTTAATTAAGATTAAAAAAATTAAATTTTAAATTTGAAAATATGATTAAAATGTATAATTAATTTTCTAAAAAAAATGACAAATTATGTGGGACGAACGAAAATAAAAAATAAGGACAAATTATGTGAGACGGGGAGTATATAAATATATTTTAATGAAAATTATTTAATAAATAGAGGTAGAATAGTATAGGGTAAGTAAAAGAGAATATTTACATCTCCCAACACACCCACATGCCCACGTCTACATTCTACAGTCACCATTCAGGAATTATTTTGGAATTTACTATAAATTATTTAATTACTATTATTATTATTATTATTAATCTAATTACTACATTACTACTAAAGAATGCTAATTTCCATTTATGTACCGCTCTGTCCCAGTACCATATTTACGTTGCTATTTTTATCCGTCTCACATACTATGTCATTTTTCTTTACACATTTTAATCTCATTTTAAATTTTTTAATTTTATTTTTTTAAAAAATTTTAATTAAATTAATTAGTTATATTAATCTTAATTTATAATTATTTATATTATCGGATAATTATTTTTACTAATATATTTTTAATTATCTACTAATTATACATCTTCTAAAATACCGTGTATACAGTGTAGAAGACACTATACGTGGGACGGAGGGAATATTATATTTAATTTAGAATTAAAATATTAAGGAAGGCATTTTTGGGGAGGAAAATTATCATTGTATGGATAACTTTTATTTTATTAGTAATGGGAATAATTGAAATTGCGTTTTTTATTATTTATAAATAGTGAGTAGAAGTGGTACGTAATTTATTAGAATAATAATAATAATAATAATAATAATAATAATAGTAATAATAATGAAGAGACAAGAGGGGAATAAAATAATATTAAAAATACAATAAATTGCTAAATAATAAATTTGAGAATTCCAAGGGCCAAGGGTATTTTTGTCGCATTGGAAAAGCTGAATATTCTCTAGTCATAACTCATTTATTATAATTGTTTTTTTTTTTTTTTATTATTATTACTCTAATAAAATATTAGTACTTGTTCTCATTATTTTCATAAATTAAGCTAATTTAGATAGATGTTTTTAGTTTTAATTTTTGTAAACAAAAATAAAAATAGAAAAATACATATGTAAATAACAAGAAGTTGAATATACAATAATGTATTATGTGAAAAAATATATTCATTTTCTTTCACATAAATTATTCATATTTCGATATATCCAACATAATTTTATTTTTTTTATAAAGAATACGATTATAAACTTTGATCATATTTTAAATTTATAATTTATATTTTTTAATTTTAATTAAACTATCTAATTATTTTAATCATAATATATTTATTTTTATTTTTTAAAAATTATTTTTGTTAATATATTTTTTAATTATGATTTATCTAAATTCTTGTATCTGTCTATCTGGAAATGAGAGAGTAATATAACGTACTCCCTCCGCCTCATTGGAATGGAATGGTGATATTTGCTTTTTATACATAGATTTTTTTAATATTGGTATTATACTGAATTGTAGTTAAAAAGACAAAAATACCCCTATTAATAAGGTGTAATATAAAAGTAATGACATTTATGTAATATATTGTAAGTTATAAGGGTATTTATTATATTAGATAGGTAGTACAATTACTAAATTAGAAAATTGTAACCTTGTTTTGGAACGGACGAAAATAAAAAATAGTAACATTTCAATTGGACGAAGGAAGTAATACTTTTAAAATGTTACTCTCTCCCTCAATATTATTAATATTTTTTTTTTTCATATGCTAAATCTATATACTCCCTATTTCTTTATTAAAATTTTATCATTTTTTATTTTCATCAGTCCCAAAACAAAGTTATTATTTCTTAATTTAATAATTATACTACTTACCTAAGATATTAAATATTTTTCCAACTTATAATATAATACACATTATACTACCCAATACTAGTAGAGATATTTGTATTTTCTTTTTTTTACTACAACTCAATATAATATTGATATTAAAAAATTTATGTACAGAAAGTAACCACAATCTTCAATAGAATATATAGAGTATAATAAATAATTACAAATTTATTATTTTTATTTCAACAAATAAGAATTAATTGTCATTACTTTTTTAATTTATCTAATTATTATTTTTTGTTTATCTATTTTTCATAATTTTTTTTATAATAATTATACTTTTACTTTTTATATATTATATTTTAATATTAAAAAATATTACTCTTTCCGTTTCGATACAATATTGTCGTTTATTTTTTGCACGTAAATTTTTGAATATTAGTATTGTAATGAGTTGCAGTGAAAAAGAGGAAAATACTCATATTAGTATTGTATAATATAAAAGTAACGATATTTGTGTAATATAGTGTAAGTTAGAAGAATATTTATTATGTTAAATAAGTAGTACAATTATTAAATTAAGAAATTATAACCTTATTTTAGGACAAACAAAAATAAAAAATAACAATATTTCAATGGGACATAAGAAGTATTATTTTTTTAATACTTGTGTCTAACCAAATATATATAATGCTACCAGACATAAGAAATATAATCAATTAATAATATTATAATTTTAAAAAAAGATAGTACTATATTTGTAAGTAATGTCTACATGTGTATTTGCTTATAATGAATGGTGGTGGGTTGGATGATTTGGTGTCGGTTGTGGCATTGCTTTCTTATTTTATTATTTTCTTTAAATTTTAAATTTTAACTTTGAAATTTATTTTTTTATTTTTTTAAAATTTTTTAAAAAATTATTAAATTATAGAAAAAAAATTGTTTAAAATAATATGAAAAATTGAAAATTTGAAGAATAATAGTAAAAAATAGAGCTATGGTTGAAATAAAATTACTGTAGCAACTGCATATTTAGAGTTAAAACTGAATAAATATAGTTGATAAGTTGGAGATGAACTAAGTTTTATAGTTCGGCTAAGAGTTTTTTAAATAGAAAAATTATATTCTCTTTTTAAAATTTTACTCTCTTCGTCCACTAAATTTATTCTTATATTTCTTTTTAGTTTGTCTACTAAATTTATCTTACTACTAATTTTGGCAAAGTTAACAAATCCAAATTTAATTTACTCTTCATTTAACACTTATTTAAAACAAATACCATTAATTTTATTACATTTTTTTTTCATTACTTTTTAATTAAATTTTTAAAAACACTCTCAACTACCTATTATTTTTCCAATAAAATTTTTATTTTTCTTAATTTCCGGACCCAAATATCCTAATTTTAATTGACAGATGGAGTATTATTTTATTTTATTTTATTTTTAAGCTTTTATTTTTTAATTTTATTTTTTTAAAAACATTATCTACGTGTAATGCAGATATTTTTTGTGCCAGAGAATTAAATGTGCAAACAATTTTTATTTATATGACTAAAATGATAAAAGGGATCCGATTATTTAACTAAAAAAAACATTTACCCTTTAAATAAATATTTTATTCTTTCGGTAAAATTACACAAATTTGATTGAACTAACAAACTAAAAGCGGTGTTTAATTTGAGAAAGATTTTTTTTTAAGGGTGTGTTTGTTTGGGGATTTGGATTTTGAATTGGGATTTGAATAGTAAAAATTTTGAATTTGAATAGTTGTATGATGTGATATAAATAGGTGTTGATGTGATGTTTTGAATATAAAATTGATTTTTAGTATAATATAAAAAATAAAAAATAACTGTTTGATTTGATATTTTTGGAGAAAAAAATGGAATTAATGGTAGATTGGAAATCCAATGCCCCAAACAAACACACCCTAAATAGCTTTTTAATTTATTAAATACTATTTCAAATAAGGATACAAATTTTATTTTGTATATATATTTTAATAAGGATATAGTCTACCATAAAATTTTACATATACTATTCAAAAAATTATATCACCAACTAATACATCTTTTAAGATATTAGATAATAATAATAATAATAATAATAA